CAGTTTTATTTCTCACCTACGTTTCACCGGTCATCATTTTCCACGGCTTAAACGTATTATGCATTAAGAGTGTAGCTCTGAACCAGCTTATTGTGTGATTGCGTACAAGAGCTTGGATTACTAAGCGTGAATATCTTACAAGTCAGTCGTTCTTCCAGGGTCTATCAATCTACACTTAACCAAATTCCTTTATCTTAACAACGTCACTGACCTTGATAGACTGATTTGAGCTGTTTACTTGGCCATACAATCTTGAGAAGATATTCGATAGACTACGCTGAAGAGTAAATCTTTTTTCATCGAATCTAAATTCAGCAGGTATAATAAAAATGATGCAACAGCGACAATATGGAAACTTTTGTGACCGAAACACAATCGGTAAATACATTAGACTGTGTCACCACTCACTTCATAAACGAAAAAAACTATATGATTATGCGCGTATACTCCGCCATAAAGTACAAGTTTTATTTTTGAGAGTTTTTTATCACATTTTGCAGTCGTTCACTGCTTTTTCTTACAAGATGTAGTGAAATGGCATCGTTCTGAATTTGATGCAGAGTGCAATTTCAGTATACTTCGAGGGTATATCAGGTTTTATAATTTTTTTGGAGTACAAATATGAAATATGGCTTAAAGACAGACTATATATTTGAGACAACTGGTTCGTTGCAAATATTATATTATGCTGATCACGGAAACATGTAGTTCAAAATCATTCACATTTGCACGAAAATATTCAAAAGCTACATCAAACTGAACCCTAGAGAGCATAGATTGATGTCATTTTATCTCTCTGTAGAATTCATTTTTCTTAGTGCAATTCACTGCAATATACCAATGAGTGATATCAGGCAAACGGAAAAAGGAACCACAGAATTGACCGTACTCGTTTTCAAAATACATTTCTTCAGAGCATATCATCCTTCTTTGCTAGTGTCACTCAATTGCTGACCATACTTTTCAACAGAGTACTTTCAACTCATGAACGCTTGTATTCTTGACTAATCAATACTATCAAACAATAGTAGTTACAGCAAGCAATCAATGAATCATTCTTTCCATGTAATGAATACCCTAACAAACAAATTTACTGAATAAATTTTTAGACGAAAAAATAGTTCTGTGGTTTATTACTAGGTTTTTCATTTTGTTGATGCAACTTTCAAAGGATGTCTGCCTAACACTCTTTGTATTATCTTACAGAAGTGTTAGAGAACATAAGTATGAATGCAAATAAAATTAATCCATAAAGTCAGATGTAATTATTCAGAAAAATATTCAAACGTTTGTTAGCTTAAAGTAAAAAGAATACCACAGATATACCAGCTGACGGTAGTAATAATAACAGTGATTTTATTCCTAATAAATCAGTGGTTTCGAGCCGAGTTTTCATGCGAGATGTTTTCTAAACACTGGATAAACCAGAAATTTTACTTATTCATTAGTCTGTCATGTAAAATAAGTGGTAACCCCTGGGTATGCTGAAAACATTTACAGGCCAATTCACGAAGTGTCGGCTGATTTTGATATGTCTAATTATGAGTGAATAGCCTGTGAATGTAAAATAAATGAGAGATTTCTAGAGTGACATTCCTCTCCTAAGATACTTTTGAGGTTAATAAAAACTGCCTTCTGTAAAACTTGAACATGATGACCACGTGAAAAGTAAATAAGTGAAAGAACAAGAGAATAAAACTATTAATTATGGATGTTGTCTAGGTAGCGATATTTCAAAATAAATTATTAATATGTCGAAACTCAAACCTTTGGCTAGATAATGTTGCATCTATCATTTTCAAAAATCTTAGAAAGAGGCTGATAAATTCATCGGAAATGCTTGATATTAAAATTTGAGGCAGTTTTACTAGGGTATATGTGTAAATCTGAATTCAAAATGAACTTTATTGCATCTTCTTTTAGTCAGAGTAATTGTTTTTCAGTCTCATACATTTTTAGTAAGGTAACTGCTGATTGGATGGACTTATTCATATGCTGTATGTAGAATTCTACTTTTCTTTCTTCAACTTAAGACTTAGAAAATTCTGCTTTCTAAGCTTGCACATTACTTTACTAAAGTCATTATTGTAAAGGTGGACTGGATTTGTTGATTGCAGTGGAGTATTTGACAGGAACTAATGTTAACGCTTCCTACCTATCAAAATTCCAGGTGTATTCTTTGAGTTTTGCTATTCTTCGGATCAATTTATATATTAATTACGTAATATGTCTTCACTTTTCTCAGTATTATTCTTGATTTTAAGGGCATTTAATTATAAATCTCAAAGTGGTGCTCTGCGGTGAACGTTTAAATTTTAATCACTTATACCAAGGAGCAGCAAGCTACAGAATAGTCGTAGAATGTTCAGAAAAAATTTTGCGTAGTAACTCAAAAGCCACAGTGTGCAAGTTTTCTCATTTCAACTGTAGTTTTTTTCGAGTTATTTAACATTGAAACGTTATGAGTTTACTAAACTCTTCCTCTGTTCACTTGCGTTTACTAACAGATTTTGTTCAGGTGGTAACTACTTCATACAATAACACTTTAGAATCTGGGGTCTTATTTAACAGTAACTTCTAGGATCCTGATACTTTCATTACTAATATCGTGGAACATAAATTATATCTGCTTACTTTTTCTTACCACTAATAAAACTTTGTGACTAAGATAATTTCTATGCAAATATTCGTATTATCATAAAAGTATCATGAGTATGGAGATGTTGCGAGAAGACTCAAGCCTTGTTTATTTAACCGATAGGTTCATAAATCTGAGAAGTCATATTTGTTAAAGAAACGTTGTAAAATGGAAAGTTTTCATTTGGCCACTACACATCGTAGAGGTCAATAGCAAATTACGTGGAAGAAATACAGAGATTGATAAGGTAGCTAAACAAAGTGTTACACCTAAACTTAGAATTTAGGAGTGACACTGCAAGTGAAGTACCTAAACATCGTCTGACGAGATCATTGAGAAAAACGTTCTTTGCTGCCACTTTACGAATAACCTACTGTAGTCGTCCACTGGTGTGCCTTAATATCAAGGAAATATTACCTTGATTGTCTGATACGATGTGTATTTATATGTCCACCTGCTCCTGCGGAGCTAGGTACATAGAACGTTCGTCGAGAAACATATCTCGCCGCGTTCCTCCCGGCTTGGCTGAGCAAAGGAGAACGTAGAGGTATTAATTCATCAGTATTGCAACATATTGTAGATACTGACCACGCAGCATCTGACACGTCTAGTATAGTCTACAAAGTTCGAGAATGTTTTCCGAAAGGGAATTGAGTGCATTTGATTTGTATAGCATAGGCTTTGGCAATGCATAACATAAAGCAAGAACTTTGTGTACAAAAACAATTTGCCCGATCTCTTTCATTACCATGGTCTTTATTTTACTATGTAATTCACACAAAAACTTTGTTATCCTTCTTTATTCCATGTTCAATTTTTATTTTATTTTATTTCACTTTATGTTATCATATTCTAACAAATTATGTAGTCTACTATTTTGACAATATCTGTCTCCATCACACTATATTCACATATTCACATTTCCGAATGTACTTTATTTTCCGATCATCTATTTCATACATGTCTATTGAGTTTCAGATTGACCTCTACTTACTTAGTTAATCATTCATATATCTAGTCAATTGTCACTCATAATCCTACACACCAATATTATAGTACTTTAGTGTGTTCATTCACTGTCAAACTTTAACACACACACCCACACAAGAAAACTGATTGTTATTTATATATGAAATCGCCGAGAAGAGTTTTGTTCGCTGAATTCTTTGTTTCTATGTCTCAATGGGGATTATTAATTTAAAGTTTTGATTTATTCACAGTTAACCTAATTTTACAATATATGTGAAATGACATGGCATAAAAATGACAATTTAGATATTTAAACAATTCAACAATTTTTAGGCAGTGATGAGGATTACTGAGACTGTTTTATTTCTCATATTGCTATAAATAGACAAGTAATCATTTTATGAAAAAAATAGTAAGTTGTAGAAGATCAGCGTTAACCAATGAAGAAAACTAATTATTGTGAAATTTCATAGTACTATAATGCTACTTTATTTTGTGTATATTATTTCTTTCTAAGAAAGAAACAGAGCAACCTGACTTTCAACAGGAAGTATTTATTTCAATTAATTGTACACACAAATTTAAGATAGAATCTTCTGTAATCTTTCCATTGCTTTTTATTGGAAATTTTATTATCGTTTGAGCTCTCGAACTCTACTTATTTTTCCATTATTTTATTCCTTTTCGTTCTCAGTGCTACATGAGACTTCAAGCTTCAATTCTGAAGTTTCAATAGCAGTGGTGTTTATTATTCTACAGGGTGGGGTTGATAGCCTCAAACCGGACCTTCTGTCTTTACCTGGCTTACTGTTATCTAAGCGAGGTTAAGGAGTGCATTGACCGACTATACCACCCTGAATCGCATGCGTATTTGGCAAGTATTCTAGCAATGAACCACTGACGCAAATACAGTGCTTTCCAGATAATACTGTTTATTTATTTGATTAAATACTAATTCACCCACTTTCACAATAACCATTTGTACCTGATCGTGTACAATCTTAACTGTAATAATCTGCGTTTTTAAAAAAGTGCTGAAAATAACTTAAGTACGGAACCTCAGGAACGTATATACATTCACCTTCCAGAAAACTGAATAAGATTTCCATCACTGAACTTGCACCAAGATGTATAATCTCAGGCATATTGATTTCCTACATTTTCCGTACATGACGATTTAATTTGATAGATTAAATGGACCATCACAACATAAGCTAATACCAGCTACTTCTTAGTAATTTCAGGAAAAATTATACTGAACGTATTTTGTAAGCGTGGTTTTATTTCGAAATCTTTCAGTACAGCAGAATGGCTCTCCCTGAAATAAATTTTGTGTATTTTTAAGAAAATATCAAAATAAAGTAAAAATTAAAGTAGTAAACTGTGAACTTACGAACTTCTAGGTAAAGGCGATGATGATCAGACCACTGTTCTCCACCATAACCCAAATAAGCTGAACTATGACATGTATAAACACCAGCGTCGTTCATGGTTACATTAGGTATGACGTATAGTTTACTGTATCCCAATACTTTACCTTCAGGATTTTCCCATCTATATTGCACTTGTCTTGGATTAACTTCTGGCGGTAAGTCAACGGAACAGTTTAAAACAACTTTACGCCCCAGAAGAACAATCCAGCGTTTTACATGGCTAGGCTGTGTCGGCTGAATTATCCCATGATAGCGTACGTGACTCGAACTGAGATGCGGCTGCCACTCAGTATTACAATAAACATTAATTAATAAAGTTGCTTGTATAAGAAATACTACGTTAATCATTTTCATATTTCACGAAGTAACTTTGTGTATTGTTCTTCTTTTGACAGAAAATATTTTTTCTTTAATGATTTGAAGTTTCTGTTGGGCATATAAATACCGGAAACCTAAAATAGACAGAAGCCGGCCGCTAATGTTGAAGCACTCAGCTGTTTGTTAGAATAATTCGATAAACAGACACACGGCCTTGAAGAGTTTTTATACACACACTTACACAAAAACTTAGTGTTAAATGTATAAGTAGGGGCAATCATTCACGCATACACACACACACATAAAAGCACAGTAAGTAGTGTATATAACAAACACATTTCTAAACTTACATTTTTAGCCTACGCATAACACAGAATCATTCATTCACTTGGATTGCCAGCTATGAAAAAAAACTAATCAGGTGGGTGAGATGTGTAAAACAAGTCATAAATGAAAATATGAGAAAAAACACGTCAGTGATAAGCGGAAAACTTTTAGAAAGATGTATTTAAGAAAATTAATTACATATCACCGGCTTTGTCGTTATTTGGATTATGAAGTAAATAAAATTACGGAATTTTGAAACAGCGCTCATTTAATCTCTTGTTAATTGCAAAATAATTAGAATAGGAAAATGGAAGTTTCCTAAATAAAAGTTCATTATATTATATATAACTAAAAAAGATAAATAAAATTTTCAAATGTCTTAAATATTGGTCACTGGTACTTCTATTGAATATTTGGATATTTTTAAATACTATTACTCATCAAATTATCCCCAATTCAGTGAGGAGTTCTCATACTTCAGAGATTATTTATTGTAACAGAATCCTAGTTTTTTTATTCGCTGTATAACGACAACTTGTCATTCGAAAGGCAAGTCATCACCTGTATAGAGTTTTGCTAACTTCATTGTTTGGTGCACATTTCACGCTACACAGCAGAAATTACTTATTTTCTTGACTCATTCATTGAAGCTCATATTTGCCAGGTAACCCCTATTTAATAATATTCTTTCTGGACGATTGTAAGTGGTGTAATGGACTGCCGAAATTCCTTATCATTTCAGAAGAACTTAACTGCTACAAATAATGTGTCTGACTTTTGTAAAACGAAACTGCTTTCTGGAACTAATATTAAACTACAAAGTGTTTACGTCGATTAATCATAGGGAGTAACCAGTGCCATAGGCCTAATCCTTATTGTTGGTACGAACTGAATTCTGCCAGCCAAGTTATCACTGTGGTCACTAAGTTAGGTGGCTTACCATCATCATATACTTTGAATTGATGTTAGGTAGTTAAAGGCAGTTAACAGGAGGATCTAGACGTAAGTTTCATGCCTCCTAGCACTCATCAATATAGTGTGTCTGTAACGTTAAAAAAACGAATATCCTCGAGAAAATACAAAACCATGTCACCCAGTACTGCAGCTGCAGATATTTCTACGGAGATTTTTGGGTTCATTACTGACTACATATAAAGCAGTAACGAATCCAGTGATTGCTCACGAGGGAGTAAATTGTTTTTCGTAGTGTGATCCCTTATAGTAGGAAGGCTATAGACTTTTCATGATGCATCTTTTATAAAATGGTAAAGTAAACTTATAGTAAAATATACGAATATTAAGGTAGATTTGTCTACCAAGTTGCCATTATTTCGGTCTGAGTATTCCCAATCACTTCTTCAATTTTATCAGGGCAAGTGGGAAACCACTTTTCTTTCCATTAATTCTTTAGTTATTTGAAAATTCCCATTCAGTCATAGAAAAGAAAAGGCGTTCAGCAAAGAGTTACTCTTTTCGGCGATATCATTCTCAAGCTGTACAAACCGCAAATTTATAGTAATTTTTCTTGGCAACAAAAGGAATATTTCCAAAGATGTGTTAATGCAATTGTTAATTTTTTGACAACAAATTACGTAATTTAGAAGGCGTTAATCGGTTAGAAACTAAAATAAAGTTACAAAAGTAGGTTGGGTGACGTAATCTAATTGCTAGGGTTCAATGAAAAATGAATGAGAGTCAAGTTAATAATCTGAGTAGAATTCACTTAAAAATAAACGAAAATGGAGTTAGCAACAGTCGTCATGAGGGTAGAGATTTAATAGAGGGTGGGGGTAGAAAATAATGCAATTAAGAAACAGACAAACAAAGAAGAAAGAGGTAAGACAAAATTACGTATTTGGTGTTGAGATAGATCAGGACCATTGTAGATTTAGTGACTGAACAAACTTCTTTTGTATGCAGAGTTCAGGATTCAATATGTGAATTGCCATTGCTTCTGCAGTTTGAAGAAGTTTAATTCGTACTCTTTTGGCAAGATTCCCACGTATTGTGTAGATAACTGAGAAGTTGTTTTGTGGGTTTGCTTGGTGTCCGGATTCGATCAAGTGTTCTAGGATAGAGCTGTGGTGGGGGGATCTTCTTTCTCCTTTATAAAACCATGAAGGTAAGTGTTCGCTGATTCGTTTGGATAGCAAACGCTGGGTACGGCCGACATACCTAGCTCCACATGAGCAGGTGAATTGGTAGATGCACATTGATGAGGCCCCCAGTGGAAGCTTATCCTTCACGTTCGTGCGAATCATTGGTTTCGTAGAGAAAGTTAGTCTGAGTTCAGCTGCGAAGAAGGTTTTCTTCAGTGAGCGGCACAGGCGGTTTCTCAGTATTTCTGCTGAAGAATCTCCGTTGAATTGTAGATTCAAATAGAGAAGTTTCTTGGGAGCAGTAAGCATGGACGGCTTTTGTGTTTTGGGCTTCATGGCTTTTGTGATGAAACGTTCCGGGTAACCGTTTTCAAGGAGGATTCTTTTCAGGGTCTTCAGCTCCTCTTCTATGGTTTCCGGACTGCAAATCTTGTGAATTCTGTGTGTCAGTGAGCGGATTAGATTTCGTTTTTGTATATAGAGGCACCCAACTGTAAAAGCTGATGAGTTGTCCATTCCATGTCGGTTTTCTGTGAATGGATCTTTTGAGTGTCCCATCTTGTTCGCGTCTTCTTCTCTAGTGTGAACTGGATTGCTGGATGGCAACTGTTGAAGAAGTCCAATATGTTCTCCAAATTTTCCTCATTATTGGCGATAAATATAGTTGAACATTTCAGAGGAAATTCTAGCTGGAAATAGAAACTGCATTACTTTCAGATACGGTGCAACAGGTATTTCCCATATCAATGAACCGATAAGAATTCTGTGAAACATTTGGTTCGGATATACTTCCAGCATGTAATATTTACAGGACATTTGGATGTATCGGCGACAGAGGGGAACTAAAACTCATTGTTCCCTCTTGAACTCCCTTAAAAATTAGTCGTAGCCCCATTACAAAGAAATTAAATAATAAGAATTAATTTTGTATAGGTTATCTGCAGTATGTACTACTACCAGTAGCATAACTGGTAGAGGTTTTAGTAGAAGCGCTGTCCAAAGTAGTGGTAGTAATGAGGATGACTGGCATTAAATTTAAAAAGTATAGGGCAACATACAACAAATGATTCAAACAGTTTGTTTTCTCTAACAGTATTTTTTTTTTTGAAGTACATGTAAAGTGTACTCGATCACCTGATGAGGAAAAGGTTGTATGTCAATTTAAATTTAGTTAAACATAATCTTTTAGTAATTATATGAAAGTGGAAAATGTACACGAAAGCTAAGGTTGCTTAAACCAGCTACACAGTATAAGAACATTATACAGGTACCTGTAAGAACACATAAATTAATTGGCGAAAAATTTAATCATTTACATTCACATGATTCCTGAAAATGAACCTAGTTGGTGATCATTTTTCCTCCAATCTAATCAGTTTTTTCTTTTAGTAAAATACTGCGAAACTTAACTTGTCCATAGACTGTTGAAGAATACGTAAGTTATGTTGCTTTAAATTGCTACGTAATTTAAGAATTGTAACAAATTCTAATTGACAGAATAAAAGTTTTAATGGAGTATGATTACGTAAAACTTCCTCTTAGATGATGCATCTGATAGCGTCCAACTGAGATATAAGCATCTATATGTTGTGTTAGACTTTTTACAAGTATTAATTTACTACTAAATATAACCATTCTTCAGATTTATAAGTTATGTAATTCACGAAGCGTAAAAATTTGATATGGAAATTGATTATTGTCTGTATAACAATATCATCTTTGTCTGCTTATAGACACGTTATGCATTTTACCAAAAATGTGACGAGTGTAAAACACATTAATAAATCAGTCATATGTTTTAACGCTGATGTTTGAATTACTATTAATCAGAGTTGCAGATATTATTCTTTCTCCATAGGAACAGCCAAATTTATAAATGCACATAGAGGTGGTACAGCTAGGCACCTTATCGTTCGCTTCTAACTGATGAAGCGAAATTCCAAAAGCTTAACAACTCAGTAGATCTACCTGGAAAGTCTGAAAAGCAGCTAACAAACACTTCTAAAGATCTGAGGAGAAATGCAGTAACCTTAGAGGCAGCCTAAAACCGTCTTAAACCTACTGGAAGTAATACTTCACGAGTGTATGGTTTGCCTAAAGCACATGGACCAGGACTGCCTCTTCGCCCAGTTCTGGACAAGTGTAATTTCACCTACCACGAAGTGGCAAAAGGGCTGGTTGAACTCCAGCGATTACGCAAGAAATTGGTAAATCATAGTATTAACCACGTCTTTGAATTCATTTCTAACTTACATGATGTTAATGTAAATAGGCAGCAAATGCAAACCTTAGTTGTCGCATCATTGTTCATCAATGTAGCACTTATGGAAACTGTGGAATTCGTATGCCAACAAATACTATAAAAGCAGTTCGATATGAGAATTCCAATTATTAGTCTCAAAGAGCTGCTTCTAAGATGCACTGTGAATGTACACTTCACATTCAACAACCTTTATTACAGACAAATCGACGGTATTTCCATGGGTTCTCCATTGGGTTCAATTTTGGCAGATTTCCTTCTTTTTAAGCTTAAAAGTGGTCCATTGAAACTATTAATAGGTAAAACGGATTCTTATTTTCGTTATGTTGATGATAAGTTTATTACTGTTGATGTGAAAGCTGACAAGAATGAAATGTTAATAAAATGTAACGATGCACATCCATTGCTCATCTTCACTTGTTGAGGAGAACATGACTGTAGAATACACTTCCTTGATGTCCATTTGGGTAGAAAAGAAGATGGCTCACTCAAGAGATATGTGTATAGAAAACCTACGTCTGTAGGACATTATGCTCACTTCTTCAGTTTCGTACTATTCCAATACAAAGTCGATTTGGTTAGAGGGCTGCACAAATAGAGTAGAAAGGATCTGTACCGATGACTCTCTAGAAAATGAATTAGGATACATCCCAAATACGCTGGTTCAAACCGGTTATCCTAGTAGATTTGTAAGGAGACACAAGAATACAATATAAAACAAAGAGAAACCGACAGTGTTAGAAAGAAGCAGTTGTTCATAAATCTGCAATTCAGTGGGGACGTGGCTAGTGAATTCTCACGTCTACTTTTACAAACTACGCCTGGACTTCACTATTTGTTTGCTAAATTTTCATTTTTCATTTTTGTGCAAATCTTATTTAAACGAATCTTATTATGTGTTGACTTCAAAATACTCACTT